TAATTGCTAATCCTTGAACGAACACACGCCGTGCGTGCCGCCATATAAACAGACCTTACAGGGGAATCCAAAGCCAGAAAAAGAAGACGCGCAGCAGTTCACAAATTCCGTTTGATTAAAGCAGATACAAAAGACACAAATCAATGCAGATCTATATTCAATAATATATCATTTAATGTATCTTTTAAATACAAGCAGTGTAAGTATCTGAATCTGCCCCCCTTGTACAGCAGAGCTCAGCCTGGGAGACAGAGAAACAGCGCAAGGATCCAATCAGTTGGAGAGAGCAGAGTGACGGAGAGATGAGCTCATCAGTTTGCAATCACAGGCACATTATCAGGTTAAGTCACACTAAAAAGTAACAAACAAAATGAATAAAAATGTTTAAAAAAATGGCAAAAAAGTACTGTATTTTTCCATGTATAAGACTATACTTTTTCTTAAAAATATTTACATAAAAATGGAGGGGCGTCTTATACACGGGGGGACACCAATTGCTGTCACACAGTGGATCGTTTTCTCCTGTTTGATAGCAATAAAGTTAGGTGGAAAAAAATTACATTGATAAAAAAATTTAAATAAATAAAAAAAATAACAAAATAATATGAAATAATTAAATAAAACAATAAAAAGGTGATTAAAAAGTAAACAATTATAAGAAACAAATAATTAAAAAATAAACAATAATAAGATTTAACCCCTTCGTGACGGGAGACGTAAACCTGTCTGTTGCTCCCTGGACGGCAGAGCGGACAGCTGCAGCCAGGTAAGACATCCCCCGAAAATAAGACCTAGTGTCTTTTTTCGTGAAAAAAATAAAATAAGACACTGTCTTATTTTCGGGGAAACACGGTATGAGGTGTATAATGAACGCGGATGACAGTTCAGACATCCCGTCATCACTACCGGAGAGATAAGAAATGTGATTCAACCGACTGGAATTGGAATATCATTATGAACTTGAACTGACCTTTAAATTCCTTATGGAAACGATATTTCCTATTGAAACAAGTAGCAAAAATCTGTTCAATTTAAACGTACGCACCGTATAAAATAAATTGAACTGCAGCACACCTTGAAGTCTAAGGGTATCCGCCTCAATTATCTACATACGGTAATTGTGACGTCCCCCACCGATGGAATCCATGCGTGATGTAAGCGCCCTTTGTGTATCGGGCTAGAACTGGAGGCCGGTCTCAGGTTTTCTTTTTACAAGGGAAGAATGGCCGTCCTTCCAGGCTGCTATTTATTCTTATAAAACAACGCAGATGCCAGAGAGCTTCCTGAACAAATTACAATTCACAGCTGGAGACAAAGACGGCAACTGTATCCTAATTACTCTCATTAAATTGGTGTTAAAGAGGCCTGCACCTTCCTGATAACAACTAGCGGATTAAGCATTAACCTGGGAACGGTCCGCCGGTTTCATCGGGCGGTGGAGGAATTCTACAGGCTAAACGTGGGGTTCTGTGACTTAAAGGGGAACTCTGGCTTAAAGAGCCAGTCCATCCAAAGTTAATATATATATAAGAGATGACAATGTTTGATAGATGGGGGCTGGTTAAACCACTTTACAGCTTCTTATACACTATATGGCTAGGGTTTGTGAACACCTGACCATCACACCTAAATTAGATTGTTGGGCATCCCATTCCAAAACCATTAAGTTACCCCCTGTTTGCGTTTATTGGAGTCTCAACTTTTCTAAGAAGTCTTTGCACAAGATTTTGAAACATGTATTTGTATTCATTCAGCTAAAACAGCATTTGTGAGGTCAGGTACTGATGCTGGATGAGAAGACTGGGCTCACAGTCAGCGTTCCAATAGATCCCGAAGATGTTCATTAGGGTTGAGGTCAGGGCTCTGTGCAGGACACTCGAGTTCCTCCACCAATCTGGTCACATCATGTCTTTATGGAGCTGGCTTTGTACGCAGGGGACAGTCATGGGTGGAACAGAAACGGACCTTCACCAAACTGTTACCACAAGGCTGGTAGACCTTAATTGTCTTTTATTCCAAAGGTGTCCAGTAGGATTGAGGTCAGGGCTCTGTGTAGGACATTCGAGTCCCTCCACACCAAGCTGGTCACACCATGTCTTCATGGAGCTGACTTTGTACACAGAGGACAGTCATGGTGGAACAGAAACGGACCTTCACCAAGCTGATGCCACAAGGCTGGTAGACCTTAATTGTCTTCTATTCCAAAGGTATTCAGTAGAGTTGAGGTCAGGGCTCTGGGCAGGACATTTAAGTTCCAATCTGATCAAGCCATGTCTTTATGGAGCTGGCTTTGTACACAGGGGACAGTCATGGTGGAACAGAAAAGGGCCTTCACCAAACTGTTACCACAATGCTGGAAAAGCACAATTGTGTAAAATGGTTTTGTATGTTGTGGTATTAGCAGAACCATTTACTGGAAACACATGAACCGAATATTTTTGTGGAGTTTCCACATAATATCGCCTATATAGTATATTCTCCGATGGTGGGATCTCAGCACTTCATTTCCTGGGTCTCCACACCTGCTGTGGCCTTAAACAGTGGTCCCATCCTCCCCACTTTATTTCCCAATTTCAGTGGTTTGAGAATGTAACAGGAGGAATGGCAATGCGCCATAGTCAACAGGAACTCCAAATAAACAGGAGCTATTCCAGAGAAATCTGGACTACATTTTCAATCTGGACTGCAGGACAATCAACCAAATTCAGCAAAAAAACTCTTCTTCCCCAAGGTAACATGAGAAGTATTTTTATTTGAGCGGTTATTTTGAATGGCAACCTTCAGATTAATGTATAGAGAATCACTATGATCTATGTATTTGTCCACTGGCATCAACATCCCTGCAAGAACATGGGCATAGCTGGTAATACCACAAAGCCAATGAGCCAATGAATGATCATACCAGGCGTTCTCTCCAACACCTGGTAGGGTGCAAAGCCCTGGTGGACTCAGGTGGGGTGAGGGGGGGGGGGGGGGGGGGGGGGGGGGGGGGGGGGGGGGGGGGGGGGGGGGGGGGGGGGGGGGGGGTGCATACCAGCTATTCCTCCCATGTCTGACCATCTCTGTATGTTTGCCATGGGATGTGCTCTTGGGGACCAATGCATTGGATGGTATTAGGGACAAGAATATTATTTTAATATTGGCTAATAATGGTCAACTATGGACATCTGATTTTTCATCTAACCTGATGAAGGTGATGGCGATGCATGAAACACTTTAAATCTGAAGATTGATTCACCAAGATAATAATGTGACTGAGAAATAATTACAAATAATACAAATAATATATATAACTATATATAAATATGAAAAAACAATATTGTGCCGAGCTAATAATCATACATATCTAATAAATTGAAACATATATAAATGAGTCACATATATGAGCCTTCAAACAAATGAGGCATAAGAAATATCTACACACATACAAAAAAGCAATATAGGCAAAAAAAGTCCCAAGGAAAAAACAAACGCAAACAATGGTGATTGTGCAAAAAATTCCTCAGATGATTCGCAGCCAATGTGCATATAACTCTCAGGTAAGGATAATCACACAATGCAGGCAGACCTTCACCTCCACCCAGTGAGTGATGATAACAAGTGAATGCTTACCTGGGGAGGTAGACCCACAGAGCTAGGTCAAATGCACTTTTTCCCTTCTTAATGGGGGAGGGAAGCCCATGCACAGAAAAAGGCGATAAGGTCTCCTCAGATCATATGACTTCGTCATAGCCAGACCCCTGACAAAGTCACGTGTTTTGACGTAACGTACGTAGGGCAGAGCTCCTGATGTCACCACGCTGAGCCGGACGAACAGTTTTCTTATCACTTTGCTGCCATTTGTCCTGCTGGTATGATCCAGCAATACCCAATGCCTGTACTGTTTACACCATTGTGAGTACGCATTTTTTATATAATAAATTGCATTTTATTGGACGTTACGCACTATGTCCT